AGGTCTTATCAACATCCCCAGCGGGAGTCGAACCGTGACAGTGAAGAATGTGAGCTTGACACGTTAACAACTTGGCCACATTGTCAGGAGTGCCCTTGGGTTACAGGGCAGATGTGAATTTCAGAGGCCTGGCCCTTTCCCATATCACATTCTTTGGTGAGATTGACGATGAAGCAAAAATATATGTGCTATAACAATCGAATAAGTCAATTATTTTTCGTATGTAAATAGATTTTCGAGACATACATCTCATATTACTGATTTACTGGTAGTCTAAAAACTCTATTTACATACGAAAAATAATTAACGTAGTCGATTGTTATAGCAAAAAATACATTTACTTCATCGACAATCCCACCAAAGAATGTGATATGTGAAAAGGCCTGACCTTCCTTGAAATTAACATCTGCCCTATGACCCAATCGCACTCGTGGCAATGTGGCCAAGTGGTTAACTTGTCAAGCTCACATTCTGCTCTGTCACGGTTAAACTCCCGCTGAGGGTGTTGATAACGCCTATGCGATGTCGAAACTGCAGTCCACCCTAGATGAGAACAACTTTTGGGAAAGCAAGGCTATGCGAAATTCGATGGAAATGTCAGCTCTACTAATATCATTGTAGGAAATTCTAGTACCCGTCCTTTATCACCCTAAACGAATTATGGTGAATCATTCTAATAAACATCAATATTCCTTTAAAGCTTTATATTATCCATAGTTGAATGGTTTCTGATAGCAAACCTGTCATATTAACACTGTAATCAGGAGTTGTATGAAGTTTGATATTAATTTAAATATTTCTTCAAATGACATATCAGCTACTAGCTTCTGATACCCCCAAAAGTATAATGCCGAACCTTCTTTTAGTCATGGGATAATAATGAAATTTTGAAGGCAATCTACAGTTTTTGCCGTGTTGAAAAGATGTTTTTTTACTTATGTGTCTGCGATAAATATCAATAGAATCTTCCTAACGCCATTACAATAGGTGAATTTAAAGTAGATAATCTAACTGCAAATGATTCTTATTTATCCAGCTTTTCAGCCTATGTATGCTGCGAAATATAGAAGCGGATAAAATACTCAATTTAAATGGCGCTATTATAGCTGATGATTCACTGAATCAACACTGAATGATTCACCATTAGGAACTATTGGATGAGCATCTTACGATAAAATAAGACTTAAGAGTAATAAAGTAGTTCCTTCGCCATTTCAAACTCTCATTGATCAAAATCCCTAAACGAGTAGCATAAGCAGAATAGAAAAAGGTGAGCACAGCGACACTATCTGATTGTTGGTTAATCATAAAATCTTTAAAGGTTAATTCATGGCATCTCGTATAAAAGTTAGGAGAAAGGAATTGATGAAGTGTCCTCAAGGGAATTTCATTAGATTTTTGTTGTTGATTTGTGCGTACCGTTCTACCATACCGATTAATCCGTGCTGAGCCGTCGTTTTTAATGTGACAATCATCATGGGAGCCTGAAATTAGCTAAACATGAGGCTATAAATTGCGCCCAGCTGTAGCCCTAACTACCTAATAAAAGTTAAATTTTATATTTTGACTGAGGATCCCATATTTGGTTGTCTAGTTCATGCTTCTTTTTGTATGCTTTCAAATGTGTGAATTGCATGTGATGTTACGGACAGCTATTTGGCAGCTAACCCATCCGAAATCTGATCCTAAAATGTTGATGACTTTTCTGGTATGTGGTTGCAAGGTTGCTGTATGTATGTAAAGGTATTGAGCAAATTGTGAGTTTTGGGTCAATAACCAGGAACCGAGCTAAACAAGCATCCTTAAGTCAATCTGACAGCTAAAGACTATCTTTGGTCACTTTAATTCATTCACCTCATAATCTTAGTCATTCTGATTCCCTTGTTTTTTTTAAGTAAATAATCCTTACGCTCTAAAAAGGCTGAAGACCACACGAACTGATGTCTAGCATCAGCCACGTATTCAGCAAGTTCAAATAGTGAACTTACAAACCTGATATACTATCAAACTAGCTCAGTATTTCATCGATATTTTTCGACAACTGATAAGCTGACAACATTCATATAAATTGGGTCAAAACTCCAAACCAAACCGTTCATATAAAAAGATTAGCTGCTTTAGGACAAAACCTTATTTACTATTACTATAGACAATACTAGAGCACATTCCAGCAGCTTTTAAAAATGTTGATAATTCTTTATTATAACGATGAACTTTCGGCAATTTTCTTAAATTAATAACCTATGATTTCGGCTTACCGAAATATATTCACAAAAGTTACCTATGACATGAAATTATAACATAAAATTCTCTCAAATATGCTCGGGGTATTTTGCGATTTGGATCTAGACTCTATTTCTCCATTTTATCATCAGGATGCTCAGTACAATTGTGATCTGAAACAGACCTGTCTTGCCTTTGAAATCACGCGTCCTATTATTCAATAGTATGGGGATAATGTGACTCGGGGGAAAAGTGCTGCCATGTCACGTGCATAATTCATTTTGGACACCGCTCTTTTTAACAAATAATAAAAAGAAAAGGCATCAAGGAAACAGTCTCACCGAGAGGTAGCCCGTCAGACGTGACTAGTGGAGTCGGTTTTAGTTGACATGTATCGTTGATAGATTCATTATTACTCAGAACAGGATCAAATGAGAGTAGATCATCGAGGACTAGCGTGAATAATAAAGATGAAAAATATTTGACAGAATTATTTGAAAACAAATTACTCATTTAAACATGAAAAATGAGGGATCGAATAGAACTGTATTAAATTTAAAAGAACATAACAAAAAGTTGAGTAAGTTATAATAAATGAAATATACTGGGATCAAGTTGATTTTAAAATATAATATGTAGATAAAGTCATTCCAACAATACATAACATATCAATTTTGGAATATGTAAGAACAACAATACACGGCATTTATTTATGTGTTGATGTACGTTTGGATCTGGCTCTCGGAAATTTGCATAGCTTGACTGCTTATGGAAAAAAATGTCAAAGAAATATAGTTCTCGAACAAAAAGAACATTTTATTTATTTTATAAATATACAGGGGTGTTATAAAACATACGATGTATCTGCTAATTTGCATTATTTTATTGATCTAGTTGATATTATGGGATAGCAAATTTACTTTAAATTGCAAGCTAATAATGTTTTATCTGATTCCAGAGATTAAATGAGCTTTTATACATTCAAATTATTCCGATCCTTGCCTTCAAAGTCTTAATTTAAAAGCCAAATGGCTTATAACACCGTCCATTTTAAATGCTTTTTTAATGTATTACATCGACTTTGAGGACAAATTAGGTTGTATAATTGCTATTTTCATCAGGAGTCACTCAAATAATATCCGAAATATTCAGCAACTAAGAGTGGCCATCGTTGTATGGTCACATATTGAAGAAGCGAATATAAACAAATGGATTCGGGTGCCAAAAAATCCGTAGAATATCACATCTGAATTATAGATATCAAAAAAGAATCTAAGGAATTATCCCTGTTAAAGGCTTGCCTGAAGCTGTTTGATTAGCCGATGCCTTAGAAGTAGAAGCGAGCAGACCTCCAGGGGGACTTGAATAGGCCTCGACGATTGGTGCTGGTGATGGCTGGATAGGGAGTGTGGGAGTTGTATCTGGAACAAGATCTGTAGAAATGGAGAGCAGATCTAGGCCTAAAAGATCATTGAGTGCAGATGGAACTGATGCAACAGGATCGGAGATAGTAGCAGAAGCTTGCGGATCAACTGATATAGGAAATGAGGATGTTGAAAAATCAAGGGATAAATAATGTTCTTATAACAAAGCATAATGCAGACGACTACTATTTATGAATTCCTCGAATCTACATAATGAAATAAATAGAAAAGAAGTTGAATAGAATTTAAAAAATAATCAATATTTGGGGGAAAGCAGTTGAAATAATGGAAAGAGTGTCAGTCGCAAGAATAAAAGGAAAATAAATACCAAAAGGGAGCTGAAGGGTGGAGAATACAACATTCAAAAGAGATAAGGAACACTCTGATATAAGGAAGTGAGACATTAAGCCTACAGATGATGTAATGAATAGGCGGAAACCTGGACTGATAAAAATTTTAATAAAGTCTTAAATTAAGCTGATTTTTAATTTTAATTTCAATTTCATGAAGACCAAAATTTATCTAGGGACTATATATTTATTAGGCCTAAGCAGCGTGCATAACAATGCTAAACACGTTAAAATAAAAAGAAGATATTCGATTTTGATCAACTGAGCAAACCCCATCACGAAATTTCGGGGGTTTGTTTAAGGCAATACACATAAGTTGTTGAAAGGAGAGAGTAAGTGCATCGTGGAGTAAATACTGGAATACTCAAATCTAATTAAAAATGAAAATGAATATGCACATGTATGCATGTGAGAGAAAGATAAGCGATAAGAATGTTAGGGGCTAGATTTTTAATACTGAGGTAATATATGCTTTATCTCCAGATTAGAGAAAATAAATTATAATATATTATGAGATGGTAAGCATCCATCTATATTTAATGATATTATAGTACTTGATTCGAGGTAAGAAAACTAAAAGTAAGCGC